TATATAATCTTTCTGTGACTGAGCTTCTTTCGCTCATTTGTGGAAGCATACTGTAACATTAATATTTAGCGGTGTGTTTGTGTTTATGTTAAACGTAATACTTGTATTGTCTCTACACATACAGCGAGGAGACGTGTTGGTGATGCTGGAACAGGCAGATAACCATCACATCCATTGCCAGAAAGGAGGTATAACAGGGGATGTTAAAGTGACCAACATGAAGATCATTACACCCTTAGAAGACAGTATGGAAAACCGAAAGAAAGTAAGCAACATCCTAATACTTATTCATTTACTTCATTTACCTGTCAGGTGAGCAGCATATCAAGGTGTTACATGGCGGGTTTAAGAGTGGGCATTCTTAAAGAGACATCTGCCTGTATCTATAGGCAAAAGAAGTCAGTACTGTTCAAAAGAAAGGCAAAAACCTATATATATATTTTTACTTTAGGGACAGAACGCCAAGTTTCTGGAAGATTCCTTTTTTTTGTTTTTTAAATCCTCAGGCTTTGTAAATGACTGATAATTACCAGCATACTAGTATTTTACATTGAAGATGGCTTTAATATTAAACCTTGCTTTATGGTTCTTCTCTTGTTTTAAGGATGTGTTGCCTAGAATGGAGGACAGCCATACTCCTCATGCACTGGTGCTACATGATTATGCAGGAGGTAAGTATAGTACCTTATGTAAAGTACCTTATGTCACATTAACATGCTGATCAGTCCTTGAAAAAAAAATATCAGCTGGTCGTCTGTCAATTTTTAATATATTCTTTGTTATTAACAGATTACACAGAAAGGAATAGAGCATCTGTGTTATTTCTAACCATATTGTAGCTATCGCATTAGCTGTTTGTGTTTTTAAAGCCCATGATACTTGCAAGCAGGGCTCAAAATTTTCACTCGCCTGCTCGCATTTGGCGAGTAAAAATAAGGTGAGGGCGAGTGGAAATTTGGGTCTCCAAGTACCGGTCCGCGGGCCAGCTCCGGCCCGCGAGCCGGTACTATGTGGCCCACAGCCAGCTGACATGTCAGGCACACGGTCGCAGACCGCGTACCTGACTTGCGGGAGCAGCACCACGGTCTGCATCTGTGTCAGATGCAGACCGCAGAGCAGCTCCTATCGCCCCCGGCTTCCTTCGGCTGGAGCTCTGACAGTTCTGAGCTCTGGCCGAAAGAAAGAATATATGCGAGCAGGATCGATCCCTGGCTATCTGGGGGTGGTGGTGAGGTCTGCTGCAGGCCTCTCTAATCACTCACAGATAAACCAAGGATTGATCCTGCTCACAGCCTCCCCCGGCAAAACCCACAACTATCGTACGATAATCGGCAGGTATATGGACACCTTTAGTGTATGTGTATATTAGGCCCCATTCACACCTACAGTTTATTTCAGGTGTGATTAGAGATTCCTGCGTCAGGAACTTGCGTTTTCCTGCAGCATTAATCCCTAATCTGCCATTTACAAGCGGCAACTATCATAAGATAAGAATTATCATAAGATTATTTAAGAGGTTGTGTTTAGGGGCGGAGTTAAGGCCGGGGCAGGGTAAGGGTTAGGTGGGGCAACTGGTGGCTAGTGACTCTTAAGGCCTGGCTAGTAGCTCAGGACTTGAAATTTTGAGCCCTGCTTGCAAGGTTTCATTAGTGACAAATTAAGTAAGGGGCATTTCACTAAGCAAACCTCATAATCTGGCCTTGGAGGTGAATAGTGTTAGGAAGGTTGTAGACAAGTATGTATATGCAATGCTCCTGATTTGAATATCACAATAATCCGGCTGTCTGTGATCTCACATCACTGTGGGGGTGATAACTAGCATACATGGCAGATTGAGGTGCTCTTTAGAATATAAGGAGATTTTCTGAATTTATGAATGGGACTTGCAGAAGAGAAGAATCAAAGTACTGCACATCACACTGCATAAGTACTAATACAATGGCAGTGCCTGATGCAGAAAGATGGATTAAAACCTGTGCTGATATTTCCCCACTTTGTCTTCAGTCTGTTTTGTGGCTGATATTGTTAGATATTTCAAGTGAACCTTTACCCCCTTTCACTAAAAATCACATCAGCGTGCAGCTCTGCATACTAATATGAAATCAACTTACATTCATTAGTTAATCACATTTTTTCTTTTTCTACTTCCTGGTCCTCTTTGGCATTAATGATGAAGCCTGTGCCTAAATGATGCTTCTTGGAAAGGTTACATCAGCAGAGCATTGCTGGGAAATCTCATTTGTAATTTCATGAGATCTCAGGGAAAGGTATTTTCCTCCCCCTGAGATGATGTGCATGGTCACATGTCCTAATCACACGTGACAGAGTTCCAGGAAGTAAGGGGAGATCTATTAATCTGCCCTTAATTAAAATGGCTGCTGTGAGAAGAATGGGAAGGAAAAGAAAAATAAGGATTGTAAAGAATAAAAATCCTGCATTTTCTAGACCTATCTACTTACAATTACTAACATTTCTAAAGGTGTCTTTGTTGTCATTACAAAGATATGGGTAAAGTTCCTCTTCCTCTTTAAACCCTACATCAACAGATACTCCTCTTCTGGTAGTTACTATTATTGGCTACATATGGGCACCTTTGTTTTTATTTCTTCGTGCAAGTCAATGTGAATGAATGGTAAATGTAAAACACACATGGTAAACGTCTGACAAATTACATCAGAAACTAAGTCCATAGCCCTAAACCATTTGTGTAATTAGGTATGCTTTGCAGTATGAATGTTTGTGTTTTTCATAGCGATGTCAATGTGTGCTAACAGACATTTTTGTGTAAATGTTTAGAACATGACGATGACCTAAGCCTGAGCACAGGGGAGATTGTATACCTGCTGGAGAAGGTAGACAAGGAGTGGTACAGAGGAAAGTGTAAAGGAAACACTGGTACATTTCCTGCCAATCATGTCAGAGTTGTGGTAGGTGATAACATGTGGCTGCCATGTGATACATTATAAGAGATGTACAGGAGCAGGCTTAGCTCTTGTCTGTCTGTCTGTATTTGGACAAATTTTACTCCATCAGTGATTATAATTGCAGTACACATTGACTTTCAGACAGTATCCGCTTTGTGATAACATTGGTGGAAAGTGTCAGTTTTGTCCTCTGTAATCCGCACTAGAGAACTGACAGCTGGAATCTGACTGGTTATTATTGTTCCAACCAATAAGATTCTGGGGTTATTTTCAACAAAATGATTAACACATGGAAACATTAGACGGATTACACATGCTGTAGGTAGACAAACATTTTCCAACATAAAACCTTTTTGTAATATCTGGGAAAGAGGCTTGGATATATTTCTGACAATACAATGCAAATGTACAGGGGGACCTGTTATGAGAGGCTTGCATAGGCTGATTCTGCTGACCACCCTCTGCAAATGCTAGTTTAGTTGCCAAGCAAATCCTCTTGCTTCAATACTTTGAGTGTCTGACCCAGAACGAGTATCCAGCAAGGTATGCCATCTCCTGATCTCTATACCTGTGATCTCCATACAGTGATTTAGATGCTATTGAAGTTAAGGGGTCAGCAAGACATCCAAATAACTAGCATTTCAGTAGAAAGTCCCAGTAGCGTCTTCCAGACGGCGCCCTATAATCCAAGAAGAAAATTGTATTACTCTCCAGTGAAATCATGATATTTTTAAAGAAATACTAGGGTTGCCCCGATACTGTTTTTTCGGTTACGAGTACGATATTTTTTTCCGGTACTTGCCGATACTGGTGCCGTGTGCCCCGATTTCAGGAAGTCGGGTAGCGGATCATGACCCGCTGCTCGGCTTCCTGATTGCCTGGGAAGCCGGTGTTCTATCGTAAGAACACAGGCTTCACTTGTTGAGGCTGCCTGGCTTCGTGACTAATCAGGAAGCCGGGCACCGGGTCATGAGTTGCCATCCGGCTTCCTGATTGGTCAGGAAGCCAGGCTGTCTAGCAAGAAGTGATGCCGGCTTCCTAGCCAATCACGAAGCAGGGCAGGACGTCATGACCCGCTTCTCTGCTTACTGATTGGCTAGGAAGCCGGGTTCACTTGTTGCCAGGCAGCCTGGCTTCCTAACCAATCAGAAAGCCGGGCGGCACGACATGACCCGCCTCCCAGCTCCCTGATTGGCTAGGAAGCCGGCTCCACTTGTTCCTAGGCAGCCTGGCTTCCTGACCAAGTAGGAAGCTGGGAGGCGGGTCATTACGTGCTGCACGGCTTCCTGATTGGCTAAGAAGCCAGGATGCCTAGCAACAAGTGAAGCTGGCTTCCTAGCCAGTCAGGAAGTCGGGAGGTGGGTCATAACACACTGCCCGGCTTCCTGAGTGGAAAGGAAGCCGGTTCCATGCTCTCTCGGCACTGCCTGTCAGAGGGAGACCTCCCTCTGACCGGAAGTTCCGGTATCAGGAAAGGAATCGGAGCATTTGGGCAAGTATGTGTACTCGCCCAAATACTCGGTATCAGCATCAATACTAATACTAGTATCGGTATCCGTGCATCCCTAGTAAATACAATTGGCAAGATTCTTTTTATGTATTGTGATTTGTTTACAATACATAGATTTATGTAATATAAGTACATGTGTTTAGACAACAGCACTTAATATTATAGCTGATTGTAGCTTTATCACCCACTGTACTAATGTAATACACTGCCCTCTGCTGGCTGCAGTGTACGGAAAGTAACATTGACATACATGGTGTCTCTCCATCTGTTCCTAAGGTTGATGTTCCAGAAAGATTAAATCCGAAGAGACACTCTTCAGCATCTCTCATAAAGTAAGCAAGATGATTTTATCATTACCTATTTTGCACACTCTTTAAGAGCCAATAAGTATTCTAACATCTCTGAGTGTCCTCATTTTACTCAGAAAGAGTGATAACTTCTCATCACTAATATGTGATTGGTTCTTCCAGGGGCCCACAGTGTGTGGCACGATTTGAATTCATAGGTGATCAGAAAGATGAACTGAGCTTCAGTGAAGGCGATACAATTGTCCTCAAAGAATACATTAATGAGGAGTGGGCCAAAGGGGAGCTACGAGGACACACAGGGATCTTTCCAATCAATTTTGTTGAAATTATAGAAGACTTACCAGCTAAGATGTCAGGTAATTATGTGATGGATGGTTATTTTTGAACAGGGAAACAGGAAGGAAATGGAAATAATTGACTTGCTGTGAAAAAAAACACTTGCATGATTTTTCCACTGTCTTATTGGCCTTCTAATTTAATAAGACAGTGAGAAAACAATCATAATGATGTAAATTCACTAACACATAGCAGCCAGATGTCACCGTTTTATCAGTTTAGTTCAGCACTATGAAGGATGATTGCTGATTGGTTGCCATGAAATAAAGCTGTTTGTTTTATGATATAAACCATATGAGCTCTTTTTCCCTTCTAGTTGCAGCGTTTGTTTGTTCGACTGCTTGACTTATCTTTCAGTTTTCCCATTTGTCCCCCTAGATGTTCGGGATTCACATAAGATTAAATTGCCTGGATTATCATCACAGGTATGTGTTTTGGGCTCTCCACAGAACATAGATTGTGGGCTAAAAGAGAGGACAATGTTGTGAGTTTACCAGAAAATACAGTATAAGACTCAAATAGTCATCGAATGTAAATTGTACGTGTTTATGGTAAATCAAATGCTTCATCTATTGTATGGCTTTATTTCCCAATATGGAGATAATCATGAAACCTTTTTGGGAAAATCTTACAGAAAAAACATTAAGCATTTCAAAACGTCCATGTATCTGCTGTTTGACGTGCTTTAAAATCAGTATAGCAAAAAAAAATTGAGTCCAGTTATGTGTTCAGTTAAATCCATAAATGTAATTTTTTATGATAAATAAAATGACCTGCTGGAAAGTTGTATGACAGGCGGGTTGTTTATAGCAGAAGAGACTGTAAGCCAAAAATCTCCTACCTGCCTGTCAGCAATTTTTCTGTGCACTGAACCACGTATGCCGAGATGAAGTAACTCCCGTGTGCATGTACGGGAGTTGCATCATTCTGGCCGACCAGTAAACAGGCCAAAGATGCCAAACCCAGAAGATGGCTGGGAGAAGATGGCAGCATTATTACTGGAGGTAAGGGAGGACAGCACAGTACTGGAGGGGATCGTTTACAAGGTGCGTGGGCATATTAGCACATTATGGCAAACACCTCCAAGGGGCTTTTATTTAGAAAAAAAAGATGAAAAAAAACACTCCACTTGACTCTTGTCATTGATCTCCTATAATCCTCTGCACAGCAGCCCTCGTACAATCAGAGAGTTGTTGCTTTGTACTGTGTGAATAAGAACGTATTTTCAGGAGGCAACAACATGGGAGTGATCGTCTGACAGACTGGGATGAGTCCTGGAACAGGCTGTATTGCTTAACCACACATACAATATATGCAGTGAGGTCTAGGAAGTGGCTCTACAGTATAGCATGATACAGAATAAAAACATCCTATGACGAATCCTTTTTGGCATATATTTATTTAAACTTCTCAGTATATCTGTTTGTTTGGAGTTTAGCCTTAAAGGGTGATGTTTTTACAGCTTTTAAAGTGGACCTATCGACTACACATATTGATACATTCAAACTATACCTGAGCAGATACAGCAGAATACTAAAATGAGCTGCTTTGTGTTTTACAACTGTATACATACAGTATACTATAGCAACATATTCATGAGACTACCATCATCCAAGCAAATGAGGGTGATTAACCAATGTACTAGCAAAGAGGACCATTGTGCCCTCACTATGGGCTCTGTGTATTCACATGCAATTTGGATATTCTATCGTCTCTCGTTACACAAGATGGTATATTTCATCGTTGACTGTTCTCATCAACACGTACTGTATATTGTTAGTGATTGTTAATTGGAGGTATTTTTTTACAACAAGAAGAGACGACCTTTTGCTTTCTATTAATCTGGTTCCCTGTGATTCTTGTTCCAGCAAAACCAGTTATCCGGTGATTGGTGTGAAGCACTGTATGATTTTGCTGCAGAGGCAGATGAAGACCTGCCCTTCAAGAAAGGAGACAAGATCCTGATTGCAGAACGGCTAGACCTGGAGTGGTACAAAGGAAGACTGAATGGCAGAGAAGGAATTCTGCCAGCTGCGTTTGTACAGATCTGCTCAGGTAAAGATTGAGATTTAAATGCCACTCAAATTATGAACATAAAAACCTGTAGTTTGAAGCGGACCTTTACACTCAAATTCTACCAATGCATCACCCTATGTATGATGATTAATAATAACATACACGTCAGCTGTAAAATGCTGTTATTATGAAATACTTACGCTTGCAGAGCATTCACTTCCTGCTTTGAAAGGGCAAAATGGCTTCAGTTTGCCAAAGTAATGCCCACAGGGATTGCCTTGTCATCAGCAGAGCATTGCTGGGAAATCTCATCTGTAATCTCATGAGATCTCAGGGAAAGGCATTTTCCTCCCCTGAGATGATGCCCATGGTCACATATCCTAGTCACATGTCTAGTCATCTGTGATCAGAAATCCAGGGAGTAAAAGGAGAGCTAATCCGCCCTTAGTAAACATGATCACTATCAGAAGACTGGGAAAGTAAAGAGAAATAAGGAATGCAAAGAATACAAAGCTGGCAATTATCTGTAAGTATGTGTTCGTAGATTGTCATTACTAAACATTTCCAAAGGTGCCTTTGTTGTTAGTTTAAGGATTTGGGTAAAGGTCCGCTTTAACCAAAGGAATGACAATTGTATTTTTACAAAACATCTTCCTCTCCACTTGTAGAAATGTACTAAACTGTGTCATAGATACTTGTATAAATTCTACTGCAGCCAGTCAGTGCAGCATATTTTTTTATATATATATATATAATTTAATACATTCATGTTAGTATAATCATCTGGCAGTCTCCGGCCACCTAAATTAGGACCCGGAGACTGCCAGATGACCCCGCTCGGAGCGCCGCACACCGGAGCAGCAGTGACGCGACGCTCGGCGAGGTAAGTAAGATGACGCGCTGACTCGAGTATAAGCCGAGGGGGGCACTTTTCACCAAAAAAAATGGGCTGAAAATCTCGGCTTATACTCGAGTATATACGGTACTAAATATTCCACGGTCAACTGTTAGGTATTATAACAAAGTGGAAGCAACTGGGAACAACAGCAACTCAGCCATGAAGTGGTAGGCCACGTATAATGACAGATCAGGGTCAGCGCATGCTGAAAAGCAAAGTGCGCAGAAGTGGCCAACTTTCTGCAGAGTCAATAGCTACAGACCACCAAACTTCGTGTGGCCTTCAGATTGGCACAACAACAGTGCGTAGAGAGCTTCATGCAATGGGTTTCCATGGCAGAGCAGCTGCATCCAAGCCTTACATCACCAAGTGCAATGTAAACTGTTGAATGCAGTGGTGTAAATCACGCTGCCACTGGACTCTAGAGAAGTGGAGACGTGTTCTCTGGAGTGACGAATCACGCTTCCCTGTCTGGCAATCTAATGGACGTGTGTGGTTTTGGCGGTTGCCAGGAGAACGGTACTTGCCTGACTGCATTGTGCCAAGTGTAAAGTTTGGTGGAGGGGGGATTATGGTGTGGGGTTGTTTTTCAGGGGTTGGGCTTGGCCCCTTAGTTCCAGTGAAGGGAACTCTTAAGGCATTAGCATACCAAGACATTTTGGACAATTTCATGCTCCCAACTTTGTGGGAACAGTTTGGGGATGGCCCCTTCCTGTTCCAACATGACTGCGCACCAGTGCACAAAGCAAGGTCCATAAAGACATGGATGAGCGAGTTTGGGGTGGAGGAACTTGACTGGCCTGCACAGAGTCCTCACCTCACCCTGATAGAACACCTTTGGGATGAGTCAGAGCGGAGACTGCGAGCCCGGCCTTCTCCTCCAACATCAGTACCTGACCTCACAAATGCGCTTCTGGAAGAATGGTCAAACATTCCCATAGACACACTCCTAAACCTTGTGGACGCCTTCCCAGAAGAGTTGAAGCTGTTATAGCTGCAAGGGCGGGCCAACTCAATATTGAACCCTACGGGCTAATACTGGGATGCCATTAAAGTTCATGTGCGTGTAAAGGCAGGCGTCCCAATACCTTTGGAGGCATCGGCATACCAAGACATTTTGGACAATTTCATTCTCCCCAACTTTGTGGGAACAGTTTGGGGCCTGTTTGGCCCCTTCCTGTTCCAACATGACTGTGCTATTATCCCACAATGCATTGAGTTCTGTGAATGAAGGAGGAGATTCTGTCATTCAACTGCTTTCTACTCCATTCAGAAGAAGCAGTAGCAGAAGATTTTGACTGCAGATCACCACGCCCACCTCTTATCCTTATAACAAATGGGTGGGGGGAGTGTTCTGTAGTTCAGAGATAAACTGGGCAGGACTTATGACATTGTTTGAGATCTCAATGCAGCACAGCAGAGCACAAGTTAGTGCATTAGATTTCTGGCAGTAAGAACTGGTATTCTTTGCAATTAATACCAAAATGTATTCAGTGGTATATTTATTAGACTGAAGGGGAGCAAATAAGAGAAGTTCATGTTTAGGTTTTGCATTCACTTTAACTTTAGGAAATTTGGGGAATGGCAGCTTGGACTAGCTCGCATATGGCACTGGGATTCACCAGTTACACGTATCTTCTCTTTTAGCAGCAGAAGTTTCAGACCGTTAGTAGGAACCTCTTTAGCTTCTAAAATATTAAACCAGTAAGCTGCCTCTGTTGTTTTTAATAGGTTGGTGCTTTCAGTATATGCTGTTGTATGTCACATGGTAGATTATTGCTCATTGACATGTGGAGTTGACAAAAGTCTTATTTTTATGTTTTGCAGGACCAACAGCACGGCAAACTCAGGGAGGAAAACTTGGAAAGGCTCGGGCACTTTATGACTTCTGTGGGGAGAATGACGATGAACTTTCATTTAAGGTACATAAGAAGCTCTTATTCAGAAATAGTTGTAATGCCCCGCACATTTTTTTGAGATTTCCGCATAAAGCCCTGGGTGGTCTAAACTAATTCTGTCCTTATCTGACACTATTGAAAGCTGTGTTTGTTAGACTTGCATAGTAACAGGTCATGTTGTTCAGGGATTTACAGCAGGATAAATTGCTGTACTGCACAGTTTTTTGAAGGCCACTGGTTTGTCCACACACCCATTGCACAGCTTGTGTTGAAACCATATAGATTCCTGATTGGCCATACTACAAAGGCTTTTTTTACTCAAAAATATTAATAGAAATTATAACTTAAAGTAATGTTTTGGGTAGAGAAGGGAATGGCTAAAAAACCAGGTCAGGTTTTTGTGCTTTTATCTGCATCCCTTTTCAACAGTTTTTCCTAGGAACTCACCCAAATGCTCCGATACCTTCTCCGTTACCGGAACTTCTGGCCAGAGGGAGATTTCCGTGAGGGAACATGGAGCCAGCTTTCCAGCCAATCAGGAAGCCAGCTCTATTCTGATTGGCCAGGAAGGTCGGCTTCCCTGCCAATTATCATGGAGCTGGCCAAACAGCATGGAGCCAGCTTCCCAGCCAATCAGGAGGCCATGCAGCGGGCAATGACACGCCTCCCGGCTTCCTGATTGCCCGGGAAGCCGGCTCCATGCTAGCGGAAGTGTCGGTATCGGCGAGTACAGACAGATAAAAATTGGTACTCGTTACCGAAAAACCGGTATCTGTGCATCCCTAGTTTTTCTTAACGTCCTATCTCAAGATGAGGAAATGTGAGAAGATCTCTCCAAAGGAAAGAAAATTCTATCTTAGACAGTTGTCCTTAGTGGAAGATTTCCCGTCTATTCCTGTTCCAGTGACAACTCAAAAATCTAGATTTTCTCTCAGTGAGAGTAGTTATTTGTAGGGACAGCCACAGGGTAAGCCCAGACCTGAGCTCCTCTGAGCCGAGGAGTAAGCTTCTTTCACTGCCACTCAATCAGCTGCACCTGGGGAATTCCCTGTCCACAACTGCACATGAGCAAAGGGGCAGGATGTTGTGACATCATTGACCTTGTATCAGCAATGATGTCAGCGCAAGCATCTCATACCTTTTGTTTATGTCCCGCTTCTGATTGGGCTGATGACCCCATGTCTCTTCTGGGTTCAGGGGAGCTCAGGTTCGGACCAGGTTCAGTCCCCTGGGCTTATCCCCAGCCATCAGTAAAAATAGAAAGGGTGAAGCCCAAAAGAGACACAGACAGCAATAAAACTTTAAAAAGGAGATCCCTTGGCACACTTTCAAGCTAGCCAGAAAAAAAAATAAAAAAATCTGTTCAACTACTCGGGTTAAAAAAAGAGGTTTTAGTTGCATATACAGTATTTACAAATAAGCTTGCACATTGAGGTGTCAAGGCTGCTTTGATAAGTCTGGTCCCTAACTCTACACTGTTGGAGTTTACCATCTATGGGACATATATAGAAATAAATAGAGCATACTTACCTGGAGGCAATATAGAGATGTCACCAGCACACCAGACTCCTTCAAGGATAGTCAATCGTGAATGTATTCAAAACTTATGTCAAGTACACAAGCGCTTTCGGGACCACACAGGATCCCTTCATCAGGCATAACAGTGACCTCACTGACCTCACTGCTATGCCTGATGAAGGGATCCTGTGTGGTCCCGAAAGCACTTGTGTACTTGACATAAGTTTTGAATACATTCACGATTGACTATCCTTGAAGGAGTCTGGTGTGCTGGTGACATCTCTTTATCGTCTGCAATTGGCGGCGCCATCCGCGGTCATTCCAAGCACCCTTCCCCATATTCTGGGTTGTCCAGTAAGTACGGTAGTGCAACAAACCTTTCTCTTCATTACCTGGAGGCAGCCTCATCCTCAAAGGTACAGCCACACACCAACAGCCTAGACATCGCCTATGCACTATACCATTGTGATCTGTTTGACACTAGCAAAAAAAGAAAGGTGCACATGGACAGGGCAATATAAAAAAAAAAACAAAACTGTTAAATAAATACCTAACACCTAACCTTCTCTACTTTATCCAAAATGAAAAAGTCAAATGTATCTCTAGATACACATTAAGTAGGGATTAGGCAAACGGAGAAAGAGCATAATACAAGAATACATAGAGAGCAATGGTACATCTTTGAATGAGATACAGTGTTATAGAACATTGAGTTGAGCAGTGGTGCGTAACAACTGCTAAAACTTCTGTGTTGTGAGAATTTCGATGTTTGATATTGTCAGTGTTATCACTGCTTGTCAGTATATAAAGAGAGACAGAGATGACTTACTCGTGAGCAGTCAGACTGTAGGAAGTATGCAGAGGATGTCACACAGTTCATGGTTTTCTTTCCTCCTCCCAGGTAGGCGACCTAATCTCCTCGCTGGAATCAGTGGATGATGACTGGATGAGCGGTGAACTCAATGGAAAGACAGGAATTTTCCCAAAGAACTTTATTCAGAGATGTTAGCAGTATGCAGCGGACATTGCATTGTACCCTCTCACAAAACAAACTATCACCTTCGGTGCCAACTGAACTTTTTATATCTTAGGTATAATGTGTGAGATTTTTGCACTATGTTTTTGTTCCCTTTGTTCCCCTTTTTTAATTTTAGAAAAGAACATGTTTTGTTCTGGTCTCTGTATGCGCTGTTTACCTGATTGTTCTATAGGAATACATCCTATCGAGCCCACCATGTTCAGTACATATCACAGGCCATGTGGCATTGCACACGGCTTAATGGAGAATGTCCCTTTTGAAGTCGCCAGGAATCCCCGACCTGTCTTCTACCATAAAGGATCACTACAGGATAAGGGTCTGGAAGGGAACTTGGCTAGGGTTACAGCTGACTAGCCTGGGGGAGGGCTGTGTATAATATGCTTTTGTGTTTGTATTTTTTTGTGTGTTTGTAAGAAAGTGTGATAACATCAGAATGATGATCACTGCTTTCAGAAAATACAGTGTCAATGCTAGCTTAGTGCATTCCATGGTGTTTAGTGCTGTTACATGGGCCAGGTTACTAGCTAGAAGTAGCCACCATCCATTTAGTGCCTATGTACAATACTTTGACATGTCAATGAATGCCCCTCCATGTCTAAAACAGTGCATAATGTTTTTTTATGATTACCTTCACCTATTCCATCTTGTTGAAAAGTTCCTTTAGTAGACGTTCTAGACTTTGCTTGTGTTGTTCTTTGACCAGTAAGGCTCTTTTCATGCTTCAAGAACCAGCCAGAACAGACACGCCTTCATGCAAGAACTACCCCACTATCCTTATGTAGAGCAAAGATTTATCTTCTATGTTTTTGTTTGGAATCCGTCACAAAGCCAAATTCCTCTCTCGGAAGCCTCTGATGCAAGATGGCATTCCCAAACTCGTGTGCCGTTTTCACAGCGGCAGCTTTCCTCACTGTGGAGCCGAACAGGTTCAGCTTCACCGCCGTAGTAGTATTATGTAAAATGAATGAGTGTTTTGCTACTTCTATCAGAGGCTTCTGATACCGTTTGTTCAGTACGTTTCCCTTGAAACTCTTTCTTATGCTGGTTTTCCCGCACAGAACTTTCTTTATTGGGGGCTGCCGTGCTTTATCTTGTCAGGTCTTTACTGTAGTTCTAAGATATGGAGTGGTTACCCAGAGAGGATTAGCTTGTTCTGTATCTGGACTCTATAACTTAATAGGAAAATAGGCAGAAGCCTTTAACGTTGTTCCAAAAGCTTAAAGTGTCTAGACTTGTTACTTTCAGTCGTTTTGTTGCCATCAAATCCGCCAAACCAAGGAACGGCAGCAGGCTGTATTGGACTGCTGCTCTCTGTGCAAGAACCTGTGGTCTTGATTGGTGCACTGTATTACAGTGGCCTGTTACCTATTTCTTGGATTAACAGCCAGGGGTGGGGAGCACCATGAGACTGAAAGCGGTAAGACTTGACAATTTAAGCCTTCGAAACAATATGAGGACTTGTGTCAACAGGCTTTTGGTCGCTTCAAGTTCCTATACAAGGTTATGGAAATGTAAAACCTGCAGGTCAAGTACAAGTCTGAGGCCCCGTTCACATTGAGCGATTTATCGCGCGATTTTTGTAGCGATATCGCTCATATTTCCGCACTATATCGCTCTATGTAGCTTCACCAATACATTTCAATGTAGCTGTTCACATCTCGTCGCTCAATGTCGCTCAATATCGCTCAATATCGCTTGTAGCTGGTCGCTGGTAGCTTGTCGCTTCTACATGACCCTTTTTTAGAGCGATTTTGAGCGATATTGCTCCTGATTGCATACAGCCCAATAGGAAGAAGTCGCGCGATACGTCGCTCAATGTCGCTCGTCGCTCAATGTCGCTCAAAGTAGCGCGATTTCCATGTCGCTCAGTGTGAATGGGGTCTAAGGCTAATGGCGCGAACAAGCCCTCAAGGAGGGCAACTGCAGGTCAAACGCACCGGCCCACGAATGATTTCAGAAGTGTCTTAAACTGATGTCAAATGTATGCCATCGAAACAAGCACAAAGCCCGCCAACACAGACCTTTAAAAGTGTCTGCCTACTTTCTGGCTTGAGTTCAACTGGGCTTTGAAAGGGCCCACAGGGATTAATATTACCGCATGAAAACTTTGTTTCCAAGGTTCCTTCCCCAATGCCCATGATGCTGAGCTACAAAAGTGCAGTAAATTCACACAATGGCATATGTGACAACACATGCAATAGTATCATAGCTGCAAGTTACTGCATGTGCATAGGTGCAAACCAGCCCCTAGTGTGCAGGAGACTAGGAACAGAGGGCAATTGTAATCACTGCAGCCCCCAAACAGGTAAGTTTAGAAGAAAATAGCAACCATGTCACCTAACATATTTGTAAGTGTAAAGTATATTCTAGTTCTTTATGCTTCGCAATAAGGTAGAGAAGCATCGATTTATCTGCCTTTTGGTGCTTGAAGAAGCACTTTATGTCTCCATGACATAAATCCTAGACGCACACTCTGCCCAGATTGCAGAACAGAGGGGACGATTCTGTAGATTCTCTAAGCAAATGGCCTCAACGGTTAAGCAGATATACAAGCCTCCAGCAGCTTGACTACGTAGCAATCCTCCTGGCCAAGACACGCTGCTTTATACATCGTCATGTTCCGTCTTCAGGCAGTAGACAATTGCTAAGTGCATTTCTATAGATTTGTTTTTTTAGTGGAGTATCTTGTTTCATTATAACTTTCCAGTGGAATAAGGCAAGTTTTGGAATGAATGTTTAAGCTTGCTTGATTCACAAAGCTTTGAAACAGGTGTACAATGCTTTATCCAAATAATGGCAAAACGCATCATGTACTTGCTTCATGAACACAAGCTGCGCTTCTTCAAAAAAGGTGCAAAAATGAACTTTGAACACCCATATACAGGGTAGATCCGTGGGATTTGTTTCTAATCATTCCTTTATTAGACTCTCTGTGGTCCTACTTTTTATGAAGACTTATTTTGTACTACGGTGAAAGATATTCTGATGTAAAATAGAAAAAAAAAAATGTGTCATAAATATGGGGAGTGCATGGAGTCATACTTAAAGTACAATTTCACAACTGAATGTCTTTTCCATTCATTGTAAATGTGAGATGGCTTCATCTGTGTCTCCTCTCATACTGTCATTTTCTGCATCTGTATCACTAAGATGAGTTTGCAGATGCGGTGACTGCCTAACCCTGTCCCATGTGTCCTATCTTCAGTCATACAAACAGCAATGCACTTTAAGGAACCCGATTGCTCTCCCTAGACTCTGAGATTGTAAGATGTGCAGGTGGTAAATGTACAATGCCTTTGCTGACTACAAAACATTTAAGAGGCCTGTAAGACAAGTATGCTTTGTTTAGAATCTTTCATTGGGCAAGTATACATTACTGGAACGCTACATAATAAAAACAAATATTTATAATATATCAGTGTTCTGTCTTTGCATTCATTTGGCTAAATTCAAGGTTACCAAAAATACAACCAATACAAACATCTCTACTCCAGCTGGGAAAAATTCAAATGCATCACCCCACAGCAGGTCTTTAAAGGAGAACTATGAGCTTTTTAGTTCTCCTCAGGGTCACGGGAGGACATAAACTAGCGTCCTCCCGTGACCCAAAGCTCAGTATATCGCCAGCTACAGCTCGCGGTAAACTGAGACCGCCGCAGCCGTGACGGATCCCGACATTACTGTCAAGATCCACCCAGCTGCATGATTGACAGCTGGCTCTGCCTATGTAGAGGCAGAGCCTGCTGTACCCGCCCCCTACCTCGTTTGTTCCCCCAGTCAGCGATGGTGGATTCCTACAGAGGAGGGGGGGAATCTCTGCAGGGAGCCATGAATGACAGTCACAGCTCTCTGCAGAAAGATGATCAAGAAGTGAGCGAGCGACGGTATATGTTTCGCTCACTCCCCGATCTACTGAGCCGACATGTGACAGTTTCATTGTCATACGTCAGCTCGAACTATGAAGTTGAGTGAAAATCACTTACCTCATAGTTCTCCTTTAAAAGAAAAACTCCCCCAGTCCCTGGTGTTGTCCCCTGCAGGCCTATTCATCTATTGATGCGGCACTGCTTCTCTTCCAGGTTTAGCGAGGGCCATAGTCCTTCAACCCACTTCCTTCAAGCACCAAGATCCCACCCAAGGCTCACGGGACTGCTGCAGAGCACAGCGTCACGTCATTATGTGGCAGCATTTAGGATCTACCGACCAACAGAGGAAGAGCACCCATGATTTTACCAGACCTAGCTGAAGACTCCTGTATAAAAGGTAAGTATACATTTTTTTTAAAGGCTTCAGTAGTGCTCATGTGTGAGGAATAGGTGGAGATTGTTGGGTTTTAAAGTTAAATTCCAAGCCAATGGCTGAAAACGTATATAAATTAGCTGTTATCTGGCATAGGATTTGTATTCCTGTCCATCCAATTTTGTAAGAAAGAATGACATAGGGACAGAGAAATACACTGAGGGGAGGGACTCAAGAAAAAGCTTTTATGGTAAGTACAAAAATCTTAACCAACTCCCAAATCAGAGCTAGATGGATAGAAACTCTCTGCAAGACAGGAACTTCCATGACCAGGGGAAGGACAGAGGATCAAAGTGATGTTTCAGAGCAGGACAAAGAGAGCCACTGCCAAGGGAAAACACCTGACTGAAGGAGCAATAGGCCCCCTCCAATGAGAAATGGGGAGCAATCCGCCAAACAGATGGAAAAGGCACAGTACCAAAATAATAGTAAACACAGACTAACGAAGAAGGATTTGCTGGGCCCAGACCCGGAAGGGCCACACATTTCTGGATACACCATGTGGGCTAATGCTTCTTCATTGGAAGTGTATAGGTTACAAGACTTTTCTAGCAGGTTGGTTTATCTACGCAGACTCAGCTATATCAGGATGGTACTCTTAAAAGCTTTATCCAATTGTGCTTTTGAATTTCCTTTGAAACGTGTGTGGGTTTTTTTTCCAATAATTACAGATCGGGCATGCCCTGCAAATGCAAACTTTTGGCTGTTTGGTTTGGTTCTCCCCTATCCCTCTAGTAGTGGATACTTTGACTACAGCTGAAAAGACCAATCGTCTGATATCCCTCTCCTACTCTTACCTTACAAATTTATAGCATACTTCCCCTCCCCAAGTAGGTGCAAATGGGAAGAGGATAAAGAAATTTGGGAACCGGTCCTGCAGGTGGCAATGCAGGTAGGTCTCCCTCCACCTGTCACATAAACTAACACATTTGGTTTGTATTCAGCAAGTTTATTATACTCCAGCATTCCTCCATAAGGCTGGGCACACACCTTACAACCATTGCAAGACTTTTGTCTTGCGATGGTTGTAAGGTAATTAAAAAAACCTTTGATCTGCCTATCTTGCATAGGCAGATCGTACTTGCGATGATCGCAAGCCACGCCCCC